ACAAAACAGGCTTCTACTGGAAGAAGATGCCATCTAGGACTTTCATAGCTAGAGAGGAGAAGTCAGTGTCTGGCTTCAAAGCTTCAAGGGACAGGCTGACTCTGTTGTTAGGGGCTAATGCAGCTGGTGATTTTAAGTTGAATCTAGTGCTCATGTACCATTCTGAAAATCCTAGGGACCTTAAGGGTTCGGCTAGGTCCACCCTGCCTGCGCTCTGTAAGTGGAACAACAAAGCCTGGATGACAGCACATCTGTTGACAACATGGTTTACTGACTATCTTAAGCCCACTGTTGAGACCTACTGCCCAGAAGATTCCTTTCCAAATATTACTGCTCATTGACAAGGCACCAGATCACCCAAGAGCGCTGATGGAGACGTACAATGAGATAATGTTGTCGTGCCTGCTAACACGACATCCATTCTGCAGCCCATGGATAAAGGAGTCATTTCAGCTTATTATTTAAGAAATAACATTTTTCATAAGACTTTGACTGCCGTAGATAGTGATTACTCTGACGGATCTGGGCAAAGTCAATTGAAAATCTTCCGGAAAGGATTGACTGTTGTAGATACCATTAAGAACATTCTTGATTTATGAGAAGAGGTAAAAAAAATATCAACATTGACAGGAGTTTGGAAGAAGTTGATTCCAGCCCTCAGACTTTAGTGGAGGAAGTCACTGCAGATGTGGTGGAAACAGCAAGAGAGCCAGAATTAAATGTGGAGCCTGAAGATGGGACTGAATTGCTGCATCTCCTGATAAAACTTGAACAGAAGAGAGTTTGCTTCTTATGGATGAGCAAAGACAGTGGTTTCTTGAGATGGAGTCTGCTCCTGGTGAAGATGCTGTGAAGCTTGTTGAAATGACAACCGAGGGTTCAGACTGTTAGTTGATGAAACAGTGGCAGGGTTTGAGAGGATTGACTCCAGTTTGGAAAGAAGATCTATGGGTCAGATGCTATCACACAGCACTGCAGGCTGCAGAGAAGTCATTTGTGAAAGGCAGAGTCAATTGATGAAGCAGACTTCACTATTGTCCTATTTTAAGAAACTGCCGCAGACGCCCTTACCTTCAGCAACCGCCTCATCAGCAGCCATCAACATCCAGGCAAGACCCTCCGCCAGCAAAAAGATTAGGACTTCTGAAGGCTCAGGTGATGGTTAGGATTTTTTTAATTTTTTTTTTGCTGTACGCGGGCCTCTCACTGTTGTGGCCTCTCCCGTTGCGGAGCGCAGGCTCCGGACGCGCAGGCTCAGTGGCCATGGCTCACGGGCCCAGACGCTCCGCGGCATGTGGGATCTTCCCGGACCGGGGCACGAACCCGTGTCCCCTGTGTCGGCAGGTGGGCTCTTAACCACTGCACCACCGGGGAAGCCCTGAACAGAACTTTTATATGCACCAGGAAACCAAAAGATTTTTGTGACTCGCCTTATCGTGGTGGTCTGGGACCAGACCCGCCGTATTTCCTAGGAAAGTCCATATAAGCCTGGGGCAGACGTGTGCACAGTTACGCTGAAAAAGGGCAACCTGAGAAGTATTTCCTAACTTGGCCTTACATAAATGTTCTGGCTATGTTCTTGCTGCCAGTTGTAAGCAGACAGCTGTAAAGGAAGGTGAGGTAACTGTTCCAGTGCTGATGACCTAGGATAATGGGGAAGATTAGAATATGTGTTGTTACAAGTAAATTTAGGTGTTCGGTGTATATAAAAGAGGATCAGGTTTGGGGGAAAGTGCTTGGCAATCCAGAGGTGATGATTTTTCAGAAACTTAGGAGGGTGAGTGGCAAGAAAGTTGAAGAGACATTCCATTTGGAAGGTGTGTTTTGAGAAAACGTGTGTCAATGGCAGACTTTTTTCTAGAATATTCGGAATAACTCATCCAGGATGTAGCCGACCTTGTTGCTGCCTAAGCATCCCTTCTCCCCGCCTCTTGTTATCCGACTGCCCTAGTTTTTATTGCACATCCATACCACCCACTTACACCCCAGCAACTTCGGGGAAAGCCAGCTCCACTGTACTCTAGGGATGGCCTAAGCCAGTCCCACCTCAGCCACAGCGACTGGTTCAGGCAGGGGCACGTGACCAGGCTTGCTGGGGGGTTCTGGGAAAGGAGTTCTGAAGAAATGCGTAGGCTGGAAGTTGTTGGCAAATATCTCGCGACCACAAGAAGAAGCCAGTCGCGGGATAAAGGTGACTGGAAGAGAGATGGAGGGGGAAACAAACTTCTTAATGATGACATCATTGAGCTTCCAGCTCCTCCACCCTAGTGGATAGAGAACATCTGTACTGTGAGGAAAGGAACCAGGTGGAAACTACATAGGCTGTAGGGATGAAGTGGGACATTTCCAGAAATCGAGTTCACTATACATACGAAGAGCCTTGAAAATTATCCATTCCCTTGAACTTGGGCATGTTTCTCTTAGGAGTCTAAGATTCATGCACAAAGATGCTAATCCTGGTCTTATGTATGATAGGGGGGAAAAAACTAAGCCTAAAACCCTAACAGTAGGAGAATGATTCAATAATTAATTAAATCCATTGTATGAGACTTTAGAAATGAATGCACTACAACCCAAGTTCATTCAGAGTCACCATCATTAATGATTTAACTTTGTATTTTAAACACATTTTTCAAGCTGTGCTTGAAGTGTGGTTGCTAGATTGGTTATTAAAATGAAGATCAGTTGTTAAAGTGCTGTCTTCCTAAAAATATATAATGGAGAAAAGTTGTACACACAAAATCAGTGCTGCCACTAAAAACCCTTTGTGAGTAATTTTTAACAGGAAATGTTTGTGGTATAACTTGGAGTTTACAAAAGGCAGAACAAACCAAACTGTAAAAGGTGGTGGGATCATGGGGTGATGCAGTTTTCTTTGTTTTTTTCTGAATTTCCCCCAATTTTCTACAATGAGCAGGAAATACCTTCATCATCAGGAAATAAATATTTTTAAAAGACAAGAGAAGGCAGTGGTTTGAGCAGGTCAAAAAAAAAAAAAAGGATCCTTATTATTTGTGGAAAAAATGACATCTTCAAGTTCTCTTAGAAAGGTGGGCAGGTGACCAGAGCCATTGCATAAAAACCATTCAGAGGACTATGCCCATTCCTTGGTCTCCTTTTGAAGGGAAGTGTAGGCATCTTTGGTCATCATTTCTTTCATTTTTGAAAGATTTCATGGATAAAGAAGGAAAAAGAGCCTCCTCTCTCCTCCCTCTCCCCTTCCTTCCCTCCCCTGTCCTGATAACTTCATAGGAATACTGATGCTGATAGAAGACGCTAGCACAAAAAGCTAACTATTCCTTACATTTGTATGCTGCTTTGTTACCTTTCTTAACATTTTCAGATTCATTTCTGTTTGAACCTCAAAATTGAGCGCTATCAGCCCATTTCACAAATAGGAACACTGAGGTCCAGATAACTTCACTTGTGGGCAGACCAGCAACCAAAGTCCCATCTCCTCATTCCAAAGGTCAAGCAAATACAACCAGGACCTTTATGCAGACTGCCCCACTGCTAAAGGAGTTAGGGGTCCTCCATTGCCCCACTCTTGCAAATGTACAGCCCCAAAGCATAGCAAGTCACAGCCAGTGGAGAGCATTCACAAAGCAGATGGTCTACAGGGAGCCTACAGTCTACTTAAGGAGTCATGGCAACATACAGGAAATTATCAGAAAATGAGAGAAAATTGTCCAAGGTCAGCTTCACTGCTGATCCATCCAGTGTCACCATGCTCTCATCAACCACTGCCAGACATCAGTCTGCAACGTGACATCCACCAGATAGGGTGGGCTTTCCAGAGACACATTGGGCGGGGGTGGGGGTAATTCGGGGACCACCTGTGTGAGTCAGCGCCAGATTCTCAAGTGTAGGCAGGAACCAAGTACAAACATCCTGAGCGGGGCAGCAAGCGTTAGCAATGTTTCATGTCCCTTAGTTGTTTCCAGACGTTTCTTGGGGGTATCGGAGGGACATGGTACAAGGCATGTAAGCTGGTCAAGGTTTATGAACAAAAAGGGCAGATCTGAACCAAGGGCAGCCCAGAGGTTTTTGCTTTGTTGTTTGCTTGCTTGTTTTTTGCTAGGTCCTGGCTCAGAATGCTGTTTGCCCGTCTGCCAGTGCCCCAACCTGCCAGACACAGCCGTCCTCCATCCCAGCCTATTTCAGGGTCCACTAACGTGTACCAAATGCCTGAACACGTGTAATCTCATTCACTCCTCACAGCAGCCCTGTGAGTAAGCAGCGCCGCCCCCTGCTTTGCAGATCTGGAGATTCCTGCTCCGAGGCACCTGGATTCCCAGCCAGGTCTTGTAACTGAATCCAGTGCTCTTTCCACGCTACTCTTTTCTTGAATCTCCAGATAGGTTCCCCCCCACCCCCCATTTTCAAGTAGAAGATTATTCCTTATGCACAACAAATAATGCAGAGTGAGCATTCATGTTCAGACTTAGTTTTAATTTAATAGACCAGTGAAATTGATGTGACCTGTTAGTCACACCTGATAGTCACGATTATTCTTGGGCTTCATGGCAATTAAGCATAAATAAATGGTTCTTCCACTATCAAATTGAAAAGTAATAAAGATGCACCGTTGTGTTCCAGGCATTGTGATTGGTGCCATGGATGTCAGGATGAAGGCCCAGAAGAGCCTGCACACTGTTGACGACTTGCTATATGCCAGGCACTGTGCTGAGGACTTTCCAGGCCTTAACTTATATAATCCTCATAGGAGTCGTGGCAGGTGGTATTTTCCAAAGATGACTTGACAGTATCACCATGCAACTTCCTAATCAAATGATGGGAGCCCACCAGGGTCACCTTACCCTTACTGGGAAATGGTGGGAAGTCAGGGAAGGCTTCCTGGAGGAGGAGGGGCCATCTCAACCACACACACTGAAGGATAAAGAGCTGTTAACCAGCCGTCAGTGAGTGGAGAAGGGAGTTCAGACAAACACTCAGAAGCATGATATAGCGGAGGGCGTGACATTCATTCAGGCTTGAGCATGGGGTCCAAAGGAGTGGAAGCTGCTAGATGTGGCTGGAGAGGTGGCAAGACAAGACGGCAAAGGTGGGTGGGCCCCCTCACTCTTGAGTGCAGCCAGCCCTGCACCCACCAAAGCCCTTCCTCCCCAGGGGGCAGCCTTTCCCACCAAGAAGTCATCACCCGGTGTAGACACCTCCGTGTACTTGGCCGCAGGTCTGGTGTGTGGAGCCTCTTCTTGCACCCCGGGCCGGCACGCAGCTCTTGTGCTGCCAAGCCTCTCGCTTGGGCTTTCAAGTGATCATGATAAAATGATTAACACAGAGTGGCCACCAGCAGTGATTATTTCCGATCTAAGCTGGGTGGCACGTGGGCCAACGGCAGTCCGAGAAACCCAGCCAAGTCTCGGCTCCAGTGGACTCCGGAAATGCCAGTGGTTCTCAAACTCCGTCATACATCTGAATCACGTGGGAGGTGGAGGGCCGACCTTGCCAAAACACAGATTGCTGAGCCTCACCCCCAGAGGTTCTGATTCAGCAGGTCTGGGGCGGATGGGGGGGGTGGGGCTAAGAATTTGCATTTCTCACTAGTTCCGGGGTGATGCTGGTGCTGCTGGGCTGGGGAACCATACATTGAAAATCACTGATTTAGAAGATTGCTGGAGAATTGGATGAAGGCCCCTGGAAGGAGGGGAAATATCCACTGCTGGGTTTTTCTGCTTCCCTGAAGCCTTCACTTCAACAAAGACCCCCTGTCATCTCCATGATGGGTTCCAAAGCCTTGGAAAAGTACAAAAGTGAAGATGTAAATCTGTATGGAAAACGGCATGCATCTGGAGCTGTCACGGAGCGCCTGCACGGCTATCACATTGTCCCAGGAGCCCCGAGATGAAATTATCTTTGTTTTATAGAGAACGAAATGGAAGGCACCGTGACTATTATCTAAACAGAAAACATATTAGAGGCAATTTTTTTTGGTCATGAAAACTTTCAAATGTACACACAAGTAGAGAACATGGTATTACGATTCCTGAAATGCCTCAACTTTGGCAATGATGGTGCTCAACTTGAGTGGTCATCAGAGTCACCTGGGAGACTTGTCAAAACAGAGATTGCATGAGTATCTCCACATTCTAGAATCATCAAGACTTTGCCACATTGACAGTCTTCTGATGACAGGACAGCCCTGGCATCCAATGATGTCATGAGGTAGATTTTTTGTTATTTCGAAACATTTGGAGATATATCAAGTTTGGCCACAGAGACACTCTGCTCAGAGAGAACACTGATAACATTTCATTTCTGTAGTCCTGCTTGCTCGTGTTAAAAGTAACCCGGAAGGAGTGCAGTGTAGCATCTCTTAACTGTTTGACAGCTTCTACTAGAAGTAAACCTATGTTCACCTTGTGACCCAGCAAACCCACTCATTAAGTATTTTCCCGGGAGAAATGAGAGCTTCTGTCCACCAAAAAATCTCACCAGAATGTTCACCACAGCTTTATTGGGATTAATCTCGATGCATGTTGTTGAGTGAAAGAAGCCAGACACAAATGAGAATATTCTGTATTATTTCAAGTACATCAAGTCTGAGAAGAGGCAGAACGAATCTATAGTGACAGAAAGAGGGAAGGAGCACGAGGGAACTTTTTTGGGGGTATCGGCCCGGTATTTGTTGCTGCGGGCGGTGGTTACACAGGTGTACATACACATACAGAACAATTAACGGAGCTGAACACGGAAGGTTTGGGCATTTCAGTGTATGTGAGTTATACTTCAATCAAGTACCCTTAGCACATATCCGCAGCCGCACCCACACCAGATCCCAGGAGGCTGAGACCCAGCTGTGCCCTGGCCTCGCCCATCTCGGAAAGGCCACGGCCCGGGGCGTCCGTTTCCCTCCTCCCTCCAGCCGAACTTTCGCGCCTCCCAGAGGGCGGGGGCTGCCGCCACCTTTCCGGAGAACGCGGTCCAGGCCCTCCCCCGTGCGTCCGGCGGAGGCTGGGTGGGCGTCCTCAGCGCGGGCCGGGGGCGCGGGCCCCGCCCCACCCTAGGACCCCGCCCCTGCGCCACGCCCCCAAGGCCCCACCCAGCCTCTCCGCTTCTGGCCTTCCGCCTCCGGCGCCCCGGGAGCCGGGGCCGGCGCGGGGCAGCTGGGCGCGAGCTCTTCGGAGGGGCTGCTGGACCCCGTTTACCCCCGCACCCACGCAGCGCTGCTGAAAGTGGCGCAGATGGTAAGAGAGGCCCGGGCGCAAGCCTGGGTCACACGGGGTGGCCGCGGAGAGGACGCTCCCGCGGCGGGAGCATCGCGCCCCGGGCGGGGGTCTCGCCGCCCAAGTCAAGTTGGAGGGGGCTTCCTCGGGCGAGTTGCGCGTGCAGCCTCCGCGCTGGAACTCGGCGCACCCGGCAGGCCTGCTCGCGCCGCCCCCGCTCGGAGGTCCCAAGTTTTTCCAGCCACTCTGCGGAGCCTGCGAGCTGGTGACCGAAACCACAGCCAAAGTTCCTGTGGGTCTTCCTTCCTCTTCTCGGGCCGCGCCGCTTCGGACCCGAGCCGGGGGTGGAGAGCGGCCGGGCGGCGGCGCTCAGGCCGCGGAAGCCGACCTTCTCCCGCCGCCTCTTTCCCCGGACCCCGCGCCGCAGGGCATCCTGCTCGGGGCTTACCCTCGCCCGAGCGCGGGGTCCGAAGGCCAGGCATTCACGGGGGTAGAAAGCCCAGGGACCCTTGGGGCAGCCGTCCCGGGCCCTGCCCCTCAAGTTACAAGGGCGGGCCGGTTCTCGGGGCCGTTGGACGGCAGAGGTCAATGGGGAAGGCCTTTTGGGGAGCCGGTACTTATCTGGGGAGAGCGGGAGTCGCCGGAATGGGGGGTCACTGTGGAGCTGGCAGGACGAAGGCCTGGGCGCCGAGTGCCACCGGCGCTGCAGGGACCTCCAGCAGCGCAGACCTTGCCCGGCCTGTTCTCCTGTTCCCCACTCTTCTCTGCCTTCCCGTGTTCTTTTTCCTTACAACTTCAAAATTTTAGACACCTTTCCCGTTTGTTCGGTAAGTTTTGAAACTGGGCAGGGCTCTTTGTGACTCCACTCCTTGTCATGTTTGCAGCCAGAATGGTGAGGGGGAAGTGGTAGTTTTGAAAGGGGGGGTGAAGGAAGGGATGTGGGTTAGACGCAAGGTCACAGACCCAGAGGCAGGGCCTACCAAGGTGGGCCAGCCCCAGGCCTGGACACGGGGTGAGGGCTGCCCAGGCATCCACATCTCTGTTACTCTGGGTGCTGAGTGTGTGTAGAGGGGGCTCTGGTTTCCTGCTTGGGCCAGACCTGAAGGGAAGAGGGACTCAGTTCCCTTTTCTCAAAGAAGAGCGTATAGATGGACTAAAAATTAGGAAGTAGAGGCATTTTAGTTACTAACAAAAAAAATCATGCTGAGCTGTGTTGGTTTTGAGCAAGGCATTTTTTGGGTTCAGGCTAAGAGATCTGGTCAACCAAATAGAGGGGACCAACCTACCTCCCTATCCTTAAAAAAAAAAGGGTGGGAGTGGGTCAGGCCTTAGCTGAGCATTGGAAAATGTATCAGGAGCTGAATGAGTTTGGTGGAGAAAAATCACGGTCAGACCCTCCGTTTCGGTCCATGAGTTTAATGGACAAAGATTATGGAGAAGAGAAACCTCCGTTTCACTCTAAGCTCCTAAGCTAGCCTCTTACATCAGGCTCTTGTGCCAAGTTGCAGGTGACAGTGATGGGCCGCTTGTTCCAAAGAGAACAAAGACTTGGAGGATTGCTTCTCTGTGTGCCCAGAGGCCTCTCACATCTTCTTCCTTCCCTGGGGACTGCCGTGTGGCTGCAGGCTGGTTTGAGCAGAGCCCCTGGGAGTGAAGTTGCCCTTGCTGTATGGTCATATTACAACAGCGAGACCACTTAGGACTCTCTGCGTGGGCCCCTTGTCCATCTCTTCCCCATTCTGCTCCTCCTGCTCTTTTCTGGGAGTCTCCCCAAGTCCACTACTCGAGGAGGGAATGTCCATCTGGAACTTCACAGAGTGTAACCTGGAGCCGGGTCTCCTGGCATCACCTGGATCCCTGAGGGGCCTGAGCTGCAGGGATCCAGAGGGCCTTGCTCAGGGCTCCACCAGCACTCCTCATCAGTTTGTTTTTTCAGCAGACATTTGTGAGTGCCGTGTTCATCTCCATTTCTGTGGAAACAGATGGATTTGACAAAGCCCTTGCCCTCAAGGAATCTTTGGTTCTGAGGAGTCACACAAGTCCCCAAACTCCCTGGTCGGGGAGATGAAAGCTCTGTGGTTGCCCTCATGAGGGAGGAAGGATGGAGGGAAGACGAAGGTGACATTGAGTTGAATCTTTTTTTTTTTTTTTTTTGCGGTACGCGGGCCTCTCACTGCTGTGGCCTTTCCCGTTGCGGAGCACAGGCTCCGGACGCACAGGCTCAGCGGCCACGGCTCACGGGCCCAGCCACTCCGCGGCATGTGGGATCTTCCCAGACCGGGGCACGAACCCGTGTCCCCTGCATCGGCAGGCGGACTCTCAACCACTGCGCCACCAGGGAAGCCCTTGAGTTGAATCTTGAGAGATGAATGTGGGTGTGTCGCGCTCGGCGTGCCCCGTTGGCCTCTCCATGTCCTTATTCAGTGTGTGTAAGTCAGAGCTGGGTGATGCTGGGGTGGTGGAAAGGAAGGAGGTAGGGCGAGACATGGGCCAGTGTTGGGCAGTTCTTCCCCTTCCCACCCTGACATGTAGAAAGAGGCTTCTCTCACTTCTTGAGCATCTGCTCTCTTCTTACCTCTGTGCAAGCGAGGTGTGTGGAATACAGCCGTCAACAGGATAGATCCTTTCGGCAGTGACTGGGACATTTGCAGAACCATAATAGGGAAGGAGAATCAGTGTGTAGTTTCATAAGCAGTAAAGATGGAAATTTAAGTGTCTTCCAGGAGGTTCCTTTATTTTATTTTTATTTTTATTTTTTGGCTACACCACGGGGCTTGTGGGATCTTAGTTCCTCGACCAGGTATTGAGTCCAGGCCCTTGCAGTGAGAGCACGGAGTCCTAACCACTGTACCGCCGGGGAATTCCAAGAAGGTTCCTTTATTTACTCAGTAAATATTGAGCACCTACTATATGCTAGGGCAGTGTGGAAAGCAGAGTAGACCAGGCAGGTCAGCTCCTGTTCTCTTTATCCTGTAATAGGGAAAGTATTAATCAAATGATTTTAAATATAAAATTATAAACTGGGACAAAAGCTATGAAAGAGAGGTCCTCAGTGTCATAGAGAATAAACTAGAGGGTCTGCCCTGTCTGGGAGGTAAGGATGGGCTTCTCTGAGGAAAGGATATTTGAAGGATGAGGGAACAGTGTTACCAAAAGAAGGAAGAGCACAGACAATGGCTCTGAGGCTGGAGGAAGGAGTAGTGATAATGGTTGGAGAGAAGGAACAAGGCTGGAAGTGATGTGGGTGAGTCTGGAGAAGTATGCCAAGACTAGACCGTCTGGGGTCTGCCAGATAGTGCTGAGGATATGGTCCTTATTCTAAGACTATCCCAGAAGTAATCATGTAGATATCAACCCACCATTGAAGTGATGGTTCTCAACCTGGGGCTGTACAGCCCCCTAGGGGTCATTTTGGAACTTTGTGGAAGCTTTGTTCGGTTGTCACAGGGATTAGGCTCATATTCAGGATGCATTTTATTCATTTCAGTGTAGAACGAAGGCACTGCAAGTACTTATTTGCGATTCTAAAGAGGTGAATTGTCAGAAATACGATTGAAGGCACCTAAGTGGGTGTGTGAGTCGGGGGAGAGTGCCTGAGTTTTCTGGCCAGAGAGAGCATCCTAAAGACTTTCTAGGAGGTCGGAGCAAGTATGGTCTTCCCTTGGACATTCACAGCCGGGATTCCAAATGGAGTTAGACTTTGGGGGATTGCAGCCTCCGATATAACCGTGAATAGACCTGTGAGTGGAGAATGAGCTAGCATAGCCCAGAATGGCCCACCCCTCCGTGTTCTGTTTCAGATCATTTGGTTCCCAAATGCAACCTGCACCCCCGTGCCCTGTTTCCTGGAAGCTGCAGAGTTTAGGGCAGCAAAGAACCTCACTGTCAAGAGTCTTTGACCCCCAACCCAATCCCGATCCAAGAACAAGAAACTGCTGTCCATCAATGGTCAAACAAATAAAAATGATAAGACATAAGTTATGGACTTTATTCCCAATAACAGAAGTAATACTTGTTCATTGTAGAAACTTTGAGAAACACAGGGAAGAAACTAGAGTCTCCCACTCGCTCTCCCCCAAGATTGATATTTAAAGTAAGATTTTCTACTATTTCATAGGAGAGAGATAATTTGTGGTTGTTGGTTTTGTTTTGGTTTTACAAAAGAAGGGTGATACTCTAGTTTGTAAAATGCTTTTTTTTGCTTAATATGTGGTGAATAATTTCTCGTGTCACTTAAGGTTTTTCTGCAATTAGGTTTTCAACAGAGTTTTTATAGCCAGTCACAAATGTCCCTTAGTCTGTGTACCCAGCCCCCTCCCCCTTTTTGTGGCTCAAGGAGCTTCCAGTTCTGCCCATTCACGAACAAGACAGTGATGAACTCCCCTGTAGAGAAGTTTTGGTGTGCAAAGCCGTAAATACTTCCCAGGGATAAATGGCCCTCACCTTTCACAGAGAGAGGAATGGAGCGCCTCTTACCCTGCTGAGCATGCTGGCATTAAATAACTGTCTAGACTTGTTAACATCTAGAAATCAATGGTTGTCCCTTTATCATCCAGAAATTTCAAGGAGCCAAATGTGATAGTAGTAACATTTTAAGTCATAGTAGTATTTTTGGTGTCTGATGGTTTGGAAAAGGAACAGTGACATGGATGGACTGGGAAATTTCGTAATGCTTTTATTTAATTTTTTAGAGCGTAATAAGAAAAGATTTATTTCTTCAGAGTTTATATCAGGGCTTCCCTGGTGGCGCAGTGGTTGAGAGTCCGCCTGCCGATGCAGGGGACACGGGTTCGTGCCCCGGTCCGGGAAGATCCCACATGCCGCGGAGCGACTGGGCCCGTGAGCCATGGCCGCTGAGCCTGCGCGTCCGGAGCCTGTGCTCCGCAACGGGAGAGGCCACGACAGTGAGAGGCCCGCGTACCGCAAAAACAAAAACAAAAACAAAAAAACAGTTTATATCAGTCATTGGTTGCTGGTGTGAAAATATATCTTTTTCACAAGTCACACGGTGCAAGGCTGAT